ATTTCTTCGAATCTGTTTTTGTCCCATTTAACGGAATCCATCTTGTTAACAGCAACAATTAATTGTCTAACACCTAAGGTGTAAGCTAATAAAGCGTGTTCTCTGGTTTGACCATCTTTAGAGATACCNGCTTCGAATTCACCAACACCACCAGCAATAATTAAGATACCACAATCAGCTTGAGAAGTACCAGTAATCATATTTTTGATGAAATCTCTGTGACCTGGAGCATCAATAACGGTAACATGGTATTTTGGAGTTTCGAATTTCCATAAAGCGATATCAATAGTGATACCTCTTTCTCTTTCAGACTTCAATTTATCTAAAACCCAAGCGTATTTGAAAGAACCTTTACCNAATTCAGCAGCTTCTTTTTCGAATTTTTCAATGGTTCTTTTATCGATACCACCACACTTGTAAATTAAGTGACCGGTGGTAGTAGATTTACCGGAATCGACGTGACCAATAACGACTAAGTTAACGTGTTGTTTTTCTTTACCCATTTTGTAATAAGTTGTTAGATGAAGAAAGAAAAAATTTGATAATTTGTAAAATTGGGAAGACGTAGCCTTTTTTATAAAAGTTTTTCAGGAAGGCGAATTGCGATAGAAACACTAACAAAACAAAAAAAAAAAGTGAAGAAAAAAATTTTTTTTTTCAGCATCCCTTTATTGTATGGGGACTGCACACAGTCAGGCGATGCGTGACTCAATTTACCCAGGCACGGGGCTGATCCGGTGATGATAGTTACCTCCATGTTCCACACAATTCCATGTAGTTCCACGATTGCACCTCAGAGTTCACTGCTGCCTGCTCGGTGTTGCCTGCTCGGTTTCCAGTGCTCAATTAAACGTCAAATGGTCAATTGGGCAATCCAACCAGTGTAGTGCCGGGTGGAGATTTACCCTTGCTGGAGTAATATGGCCATTCACACGACTAAGTTTTTTTTTTCCTTTCATTTTTCCTGCACACAGCAACGAATTTGAGAGAACCTTCGATGAGCGGTGTATGGGTTTTTGTGTGTTGCTCACGTGATCATTTTGGATTATATAATCGCCAATATATTTTGCAACCAGGTATTCAGTTATTGATTTAATATATAATATATAGAGAGAGAAGTCAGCGCCTTCTTTTCTTTTTCGGGGGATCGTCACTTAGCTTTTTAAGTAGTTCTTGGTTGCTTTTAACCGAGTTTAGATCCTGATATCCAACTTGAGTAGGCGGGTCTTCGTTGATGGATATTTCCGGGTCGTCATTTTGAGCTGCTTCGGCCAATTTAGAATTGATTGACGAAGAAGAAGTGGATAGTTTACCGTACTGTAAGTTTTTGATTGATTTTCTAGGAGAAGGTAAAGAAGGCATGGACTGGGTTTTAAAATCGTCACCGCTTAAGTTTCTAGCAAATTCTAGTAGAGTAGTTGGTTTATTTAAATTCAAAGGAGCGAAAATACACCAATTCAAATCGAATAAATCGGGTAAAATTAGTTTTTTCTTACCATTTGATTTAGATAGAATTTCCCATAGATAGCTTAGGGACACAATTGGGATATTCCATTTTTTAGCGGCGTTGATTTTATTTGTTGAAGAAAGTAGAGAAACACTTTTATCTGAATCGTTATAAGTGGGACAATTGATGATATCTGATTTGTAATTGAAGAGTTGACTATTTGAAATTAATTTTTTTTTGAAAAGATTAATATTGATGATTAATAAATTTTTAGAAGAATTGAGGGTTTCACAGTATTTGAAGCCTAATAATTCTATTAGTTTAGGGATATGTAATAATTCTATACCGGTGAATCCACTAATGCAAATTTCCAAAGGTTGATTGGAAGGAGTTATTGATTTGAAAGGAACTGACCAATTATCATGAACGATTTTTTTATAAAAAATCGATCTTTCGATAAACCATTCATTTATAATTAGGATTTTCCGATCGTTAATTTTTTCTTTGTAGAATCCGGGGATTTTTTTGAAAGACGAATTGGTTAAACAGGAATTATACGGGATTAAGATGTGAGTGATCGTTTCGTCGTTTTCTTGAGTAGTATTAACTTCCCCGTCGTTTGACGTGATGACGTTGGTCAATAATTTAATTTGATGATTGGTGAAACCAATTATTAGGAACTTCAAACCAGAAAACAATTTTAGTTTAGTTGATTCTATTTTAGTCGGGGTGGGTTCTTCATCTTCCTCCTCGCTTTCGTCCCACGAAGATTGTTTTGGTTTGTATTCATTATTTATCATGATTGAGTTCCAAACATCGATTCTTTTCTTTAATGGTTTATCGGATTTATTTTCTTCCCGTTTAGTTAATTGATCCCAGATATTGCATCCGTTTAATTCGGTGGTCTCCAGGGTTATTATGTAGTCATCCACCGGTAATGACGCTCCTCTTTCGAGCGAGTCTATGATCCAAAGGGGATGCACTGTGGGGATATTCCATTTATTGGACATTTGATATCGTTTACCCGATAATTCGGTTGATATATTAATACTGATGGAACTTCTTAATACATCGGTGGCCTCGCCACCATTATTATTAACGAAGCTCGAAAGCGACGTGAACTCATACAAGTATTTCACGTATTTGGTTCGATGGGGGTATTTTTCAAGCTGTAAATCAACCGAGTTGGTGGGGTTTAATCTGGATATACATATTGAATAATTTTCAAAGGTTTTTTCTAAAAAATTATTGATGGTTTGATTATTGTCATTCAACCAACTCTGGTATATGGACGGAATCGCTTTAAAATTAATGAAGATTATATCATTTCGATTCTTAACACAGTATTTATATTTGGGAGTATCTTTATTACCAACCACCAAGATGTTCACGTCGGTCATTAGATCCGGGTAGTACTTGCCTCCCAATGCCTCCAACTGGGAAATCATCACATTTCTCTGGTCAATCGGAACCGCAGTGAAACATATCCGATAATTGGCAAACGGCTTCATCCTTGGTGAAGTAGTCTTCTGCTTATACTACAACGCGTTAGTAGATTATATACTAGATGTACGGACCAAGGAAAACCTCCGTACATTTAGAAAATAAAAAAAAAAAAAAAAAAAAAAAAAAAACACCAAAGTGGTAAATACACCCCTCTCACCAATCGGAGTAAGTGACCCTGGAAAACACCCGTTCATCCCGTCGCGCAAGTGTGAGCTCACCAACTTGCTCCTGCTCCGCTACTAAATGCTATCGGAATGTGGTGGGCACACGGTGGTTCCCACACGGTGGGTCCCACCAAAAGGGTAATTCCCAAATACCACTAGTGTCATTTCATCCTGTCAATTTACGATTAGACGAGCGGTGGGTCCGGTCCTCGTAAAACATGGGCTTATCTACCCTGGCACTTCCCCCATGGCTGCACCAACGACCGCATTTATTGATTGAGCGGCCATCTTGTTGATGCATCTATATATATCTAGATCCCCCGGGAGCGCTGCACGTGACCGTGCCCTTCCGGAATCTATAATTAACCTCTGGTGTCCCGATGCGGCCGCCGCCCCCCGATTCAGAATTGTTCTTGGAACATGCAATTATTTTTTGTACCTGTTTTCACTTCGTCCTTTTTGTGTGTTGGGTTTCCCGCTGGTTTTGTGCTGGCAGCGGCGTGAAATTGTCTGACCTGCCTGCCCCTTTTGGCAGGCGGTGTCGGGCACCTTCCCCAAAGGGGTAGGCCCCATTCTGAAAACGGTAGCGCTCACAAGACCACTCATTATTTGCACGGCATCTTTACTATAAATAACTGATTGCAAACAATGGTAACAATAACAAACGATTGGGAAACAAACCTCGACGTTCCCCCAAAAAATCGGTTTGTTTGTTTATTTGTTTAATTTAGTAATAGAATGGGAGGAATTTCTTTTTTCCATCGAACTATTTGGAATGGAATGAGTTAATTGCCCTTACAATTTTTTTACGAAATGATGAAGCCTTAAAATTTATTGTATATAAATGTAACCAGATCCAATATCCTTGGGTTCATATTTTTTTTTTCTAATTCTTTATTCAATACACTCGCTTATATTTCAAAAATGCAATTCTCATCTATCCTCGCTACCTCCGCTTTAGTTGCTGGTTCTTTAGCCGCTTACACTAACGATACCACCGTTACCACCGATGTTACCGTTACTGGTTACACCACTTACTGTCCATACTCCACCGAAGTTACCATCACTACTTGTAAAGAAAACAAATGTGCTCCAACCACCATTCACGTTACTGAAGCCACCACTTTAACTGTTACTGAAGAATGTGTTGTTCCAACTTCTTACACCACTGATTTCGTTACTTCTACTTCTACTTTAGCTTGTACCGAATGTGAACACTCTACTGAAGCTCCAAAATCTTCTGCTCCAGCCACCACTGAAGCTTCTTCTTCTCAACCAACCACCTTAGCTGCCGAATCCTCTTCTGCTCCAGCCACCACCGCTGAAGTTTCTTCTTACGAAGCTGGTGCCGCTAGAAACGTTGCTGGTGTTGCCGCTGGTGTTGCCGCCGTTGCCGCTGCTTTATTCTAAGCTTTTTAACTTTTAGTTTATCAACTTTAGTTTATTTTTTAATTTAATGTCATTTGGTTTGGTTTTATCTTTCATTTTTCTTTTTTCGTTTATAAAAAGTTTCTGTATTTTTCTTTACTGCTTTCTAATTACCCTTTCGTCTAAATTTTTTACTTCGGTTTAGTATTAATTAATATATTAATTGTCCTACTTTGTTTGTAGCATTGTTCCGCATTGATCTCGCAGCCTTATCGAATATCTCGAATATTTTCGATCTCGGCGCTCACACCGCCCTCAGTGTTCTCTCAGTGTTCCCAATCCCTAACGCTCTCAGGGTTCATTGGTTCATTGGTTCATTGGTTCATTGGTTCATTGGCTCATTGGCTCATTGGCTCATTGGCTCATTGGCTCATTGGTTTCAGTAGCAAAAAAGAAAGTCTACAGCACGATGGTTTCCATTATGGTCTCCCACTAACGTACTCAGCATCGCTCTCAGCAGCTTAATAATTATTGATCGGACGGGTAATCATGCTTTATGCTGGATATGGCCGTAGACATCGGTTTCGAATTCAAGGCCATTATACGGCCATGTTACTCACAAAGCAAATTTTCCAATTTTCATTGACGGGCCCGAAAGAGTGGGTTTTCGGGGTTGCTGTAGCCACTGGTGTTTAAAGTAATGTATTTAATAAGTAATAAGCTGAATATTTATTATTTATAGTCAAATTTGTAATATATATTTAAATTTTTTGTCGAAGCGGCCTTCGACTAACCATTCATGGTCTAACATGATTAACAGCAAAAAGATCAATCTATATAATAAATTAATCCACTCCATAATCAGTTATTAGTAGGTATCTAGCTAATATCATGGTCGTCCATACTGGAACATAAGTCTATATGTATAGTATAAATATATGTGGTCGATAGAGGTCTGGTCTACCCACATAACCCGATAATATTTAAATTGTGGTCGAAACTGTCCAGCTCCCACTCTCCTTATCCATGTATGTTGAACCGTGAAGCTCTGCCGATGTACCGTTCGCATAAAACTGAGACTTATAGACGTCCTTTTTAAGTATATCGGTAAGGTTTATATACGTAGACACTTTCATAATGGAAAATCCCATTGGTAATGGATAGAAGTAGGCAATGCTTAATTTGGTATAAACATGTGCTTCAGTTTGGTTTCAATGCATAGAATAATCGTGTGCCTTGGTTGTCCATTTTGAACTTGTCTACTAGACCACAGAAGTCATCCAATGAACATGATTCAAACTGAAGTGGCTGGCCTTGGTTACTTCCAGATACAGCACCATCCACTTTTCTCTACAACTACTTTAAATGCATTTTTAAATGCAATTTCTTACCGTCCAGTGGATTAATGATTCAATGTTGTAACTGCTTGCGGCTGCGAAATCCTTCATTTGATCAAGTACTTCCTCAAATACTATGTCATTCTCCATATACTATATCGTACTCGATCATAATTTCATACTCCATATATATAAGAAGACAGATTTCCTGAGCCGTCGAAGAAAATTTGCTCCTTGGGCATCCTAGTATCATTTTAAGATGCTCCATTTGCTTTATTATGTTACGAATCTTCATTCAAAAATCCCCTTCCAGGTTCTAAGAATGTCTAAATACTATACCTATCCATTCGTGGAAGAAGGAGCACCGAGTGTAAATACAAATGGAAGGATGGGCACTCATTAGTGTACATGATCTGAGTTCTGGGTAGGTTATTGGAGGCTATTTTTCGAATCTGGGAAGGTATTCTTTTCAAGAGTGAGACGATATTTAGTACTGGATACTATACCTGTCTATTCATGGTATCAAGAATCTAGCACCGAGTGTAAATACAACTGGGCCTGGGGCACTCATTGAAAGATCTAAACCCTAGATAGGAATCAGTAGACGGTATCGAATATAATATATGTAATTTTGCAATATTTAGTGTAGACTGCGAAAACATCTTGATCTTTAGTTAATGTATACCTATTTTTTCACATTTTTTACAATTTTTACAATTTTTACAATTTTTTACAATATTTACAATTTTTATCATCAAAACACATTTATTTAATCAGCTTTATCAGACATGACCTGTTTAACTGGTTCAGTTTCATTTATATATAATTTATGTTCTTGAATATATCGAATAACAGAATTAGGTAAAAGATATTGAACCGACATGCCTCTTCTTATAAATAATCTAATTTTGGTTGAACTAATATCATTATAAATCAATTGTTTAATAACCAAAACATTTCTTCTATGTTCGTACATTATATCATGGCTTAATAAAAAGCTTCGAACATCAGCACCGGTTCTTTCCACAATTAAACATCCATATTTTCCTAAAATATGATGTAAATCTTGGTCTGCCCATACATCTGGTTCTCCCATTGATTCAATCAAATCTCCTCCGGCTAATAGCATTATTTTAACTCCTCTTTTCTCACCATTTGAATCCCTTATTCCTCCTCTTTTAATATTAATTTCTTCATTGAAATGATCCAACACTAATGCGGTTCTCGTATATTTATTTTGTAATGATTCCCAGGCATCAACCATTAACCAAGAACTGGTTCTTTCACAAGCCAATTCACACATTCTAACTCGATGATGCGAGGGGGCCAATCCTTGTTTTTTATAATTATCGCTAACTGGGGAATAATATCCTCCGATAACTTCAAATTTGGTTTGTTCATTGATTGCATCCAATGCCATTTCAAACATTCTCAAATGTAAATAAGTAATTGGTGAAAATGATCCACATGCAACTATAACTAAAGGATATTTATTGTCTTCTGATAAGGTGGTGGCTAATCGATGAGTTGGAAATTGATATTTATCTAAACTTTTGGCTTGTCTCTGAATTCCATGCGGTACTTCTTCTAAATCAGCAATTTGTGACGATCTAACTTTAGCGGTTGGTGGTAATATTAACTTACCTCCTTTATTGATTGGTTTCTCTGGATGGTTTTCCTCTTCCTCACTCGACGACGTAGACAAGTCCGTATGCTTTCTTGGAATCCTTGATTCCAACCCTTTCTCCTTATTCTTATCTTCTCCAACTTCACTCAATGATGGATGCGGTGGTGGGGCATCAACAGAATCCCCCAAGTCGGCCAATACAAATGGCTGGATTGGTGCATTACTTGGAATCTCTGACAGTGGAGCAGTGGGCTCGATATTGCGATTCAATGATGGTGGTGTGAAATTAGGATCATTAGTTGGATCCATCGTATATATACTTTAAAAACCTTAATTTATTTGCTCAGCAATTTGTAACACAATTAACTAGTCTAATCCTTGACCTATACCTTTAATACTCCAACGCTATAACAATATCTCCTGGATATCTTAATCTCAAACGTCAATAGCCTCAAACCAGTGCCAATTCAAGTCTACTTATGTCATAGACGTTGAGTTTTAACTCGGTTTTTTTTTTTTTTTTTTTTTTTTTTTTGGTTTTTCCTCAGAGTCAATTTTTCCCACTGTTTTTTTTCTCTGTTTTAAGTAGTGCTTTTCTTACTTTTGTTCTGCTGCCATTATTCTGTCGAATGACCTCATTCCCTGGCTATACCCGTGGAAGATAACGCTGTTATCTGCTTGCAATGTATGGCCATCTAGCCACTGGGTCCGGGGTGGCCACTGGGCGTTGGCTGGGGATCTGCTCGGTTCCTTCGTCGGAGTGCTCCCCCCATCAAATCGGATTGTACTGTAATCTTACATTACCGGTTATACTTTAAAAGGCTGAAGGACGACTAAAACCCGATCGGACACCCACTTCATTGTGGTGGCTTCGGGGTTAGTTCTGCTCAATCCCCGAACACCTCAGTCGTCTTTGGAGGAGTTCACCGTAGTTGAAAAAATTGGCAAAAAGAAAAGCCCGATGCGGGGGTCGAACCCGCAACCTTGTGATTAAAAGTCACACGCTCTAGCCATTGAGCTAACCAGGCGCTTTTCATGTCGAGAAATTAGACATGGGTAGATAAGTTGAATAGGTGGTCTTTGAAGAAAACTTTGAGCGGTTTCGGGCGGATTTTTAACTGAAGCATGTTGGAGGCTTTGCTATGGTCTGCTATGGTTAGGGGGTGCAGAGAAGTGCATGGACGGGATTGGTGGGATAAGAAATACTTGTATATATTATGTAAATAGACATCACGGGAGGGAATGAGAGAACTCTAATGGTGACTTGAGCGACTACTTCATTGAGCGACTACTTTATAGCTGATTGAAGATAGCTCTTTGAAGTACAGCTGAAGATAGCTCATTAGATAGCTCCGTGGACCAAAGAAATATACTACTATTGGTTTTATTTAGTATTGGTTGAATGGTTATTCTTTTTGCGTGTGATGGTGCCCGTGTTGAACCTATGTGGATGCACGGTCTGATCTGCCTCATATATATTCTGGTATACGAGAAGTTTTGGAATGAAACCAAGAACCTAAATGCTTATACTTCAAACAGGAAGGTCCGGAGTATTCAGCAGCAATCAGTCATAATTGGGAATAACTGTGTACAGACGTGTTTGATGCCGAAAGCTATTTGAAAAGAGAGTTAATGCCAGCGACAAAAGTGGCGATGAAATTATAGCTGGGACGACGAGATGTACTTTTTAATCTTAGAACGAAACTAGGTGACTGGAGCTCTAAGTATTGTTTTATAGCTTGGAGCATACGGCTGCAAAATTCGCAACCGTACTATCGATCACCCTCATGTGATTTGTGGTGATATCCTAGTCGTCAGGAGCTGGAAATCCTTCGTATGAAGAGCAAGCCCCCAATACGATACATGAATCAATACATTAATACATTATTCATGCATTAATCAATACACTAATACATTAATACTCTAATACATTAAGCAATACATTAATAAATCAATACATTAAT